GGAGGAGGAGGAGGAGGAGGGGGAGGAGGAGGAGGAGGAGGAGGAGTAGACCCGCTTTTGATTCTCGCTCAGTTGGAAGGCTTCGCTCCGCGCGCCCTGCCAGGTTCGGGCTCCACGGGCCCATCGAGGCCGGCGCCCCCACCCGCCGGCAGTCGCGCCTCTCCCGCCCCGGGGCCTGGCCTCCAGCGGCCCGCCAGGCGGGGCGGCTGTGGGCGGGCCCTGTTCGACCGCACGTAAGAGTGGCCTTCCGCTGGAGTGACCTCTGGTGCGGGCCCAATGCAGGGGCAACGGTTGGGCGTAGGAGGGGGATGTATCGACCCCAAATCGCCTAATGATCGCCGATGGGGGCCCGATAGCCCACCCCCGCCAAGGAACGTGCGGATTTGCTTTCAGGGGCCCATTGCCGATCTATCGCCGATTCCAGGTCGATGTTCTTCCCCTATGCCAGTCCCCCCATATCGTTGCCCCTCACCTTCTGTGCGGGCCTCATGGGGCCCCCCGATCGCTGAACGCGAAGCGGTAGCAGCGGCTTGCACGCCTGGGTTTGGCCACCCCGCGTCCCCCGTTGAGTCGCGCATCAAAGGCCACTCTTGCCCAAGGTCACTTCTGAGTGTCGCCGACCCTGTTCCGCCAGTTGGCCGGCGGACTTTTGCCGACGGCTACAATTTGACATCGCTCCGACGTGTGCGTTTTTCTTCGGCGAGGACCATCGAGGAGCATCCTGCGAAAAATAAGTGCCCGACACCGAAGAATGCACGTGGAATGGACATCCAAGCGATGGCAAGACAATGGGTGTGGTTACACTGGGTGTGGTTTGCGATCGGCGCCGTTGAGGCTTAGATGTATCACGTTGTGCGAAAGGTTTGATGAGCCCTCGTCGGGGCGCGGCGGAGATCTCTGTCGAGGTCCTCGCCCGCCGCCCCCAGGCGCGGGTTGCAATCCATACCCTTTGCAAGCCGCACCCTCTGCAGTCGCCGAGCCTGGGGGACTTCTACTTGCTTCAGTCCGAGCGTTTGCCGCGGGCGTCTTTCAGGGTAGCCGCCTCGCGGCAAATCAAGAACGCAACAAGCCCCCGACACAGGAGATGCCGCAGCCCATCGTTGTACGATGGTCTCGTCGCAGCGCGGGCTGCGGGGCAGGAAAAGGAGCTGCTGGACCAGCTGCGGCAACAGGGGGAGAAGCACCATAATGCCTCCTGGACGGCGGCCTCCTGCAATAGGTGGCCGAGGAACTGCGGCGCGCTGGGGGTGTCCGCGAGCGGGAGGGGGGTCTACTCACGTCAGCGGGGTCCTGGGGCTGTCCTGGGGCCGTCCTGGGTTCGGGCCCCCCCGCCCCTGGCTCTCTGGTGTTCGGCCCCTTTGGGGCCCGCGGTGGCGGGCCCCTGCTCGCCCGCAGCTGGCAGGTTTGGGCAGCTCTCCTAGCGGCGGCGTCGCGGCGGATGTGCCGAACGGGGGCCTGCGCTTCCGATTTCGCCAGTCTCAGTTTCAGCCTCCTCCTCCTCCTCCTCCTCATCCTCCTCCTCCTCCTCCTCCTCCTCCGCCCTCTTCCGTCTCCTCCTGTTAATGATGTTTTTATTGCATGCGATGCTTCTGCGCACGTCGGTTGCCATGGTTGCCTGTGGCCTCTTCGGCGGGCTATCGGTCTGCGCGGGCAGTTGCCCTGCTCGCCATCGGTCTTCTCGTGGCCCGCGGCGCAGGTCCTGAACATACGCTCGGGCCGTGGCCTCTTTGGCTCTCGCCGCCCCCGCGGTCAACAACGGCCGCGCCCTCCTTGTCCGACCACTTCAATTCGTCGTGCCCTTTCCGCTTCACTCCTCGGTTCCCACTCCTGCTTTTGCTCCTCCTTGAACTCCTGCTCCTCAGTGAGCTTCTCCTTGAACTCCTCCTTGAACTCCTCCTCCTTGAACTCCTCCTTGAACTCCTCCTCCTTGAACTCCTCCTCAACTCCGCTCCTGCTCTTGCCCCTCCTTGGACTCCTGCTCCTCCGTGTGCTGTCTTGCGCTTGTAGTCTACGTTCGCTGCGACGCGCGGATGGGACGGCGCTCGGGCGGCCGACCGAGTGCGTCGAAGGATCGGCCCGCTGTCCTGAAAGATCCCGCCACCAGGGAGAGAGGGGAAGGAGCTTTCCAGGTTGCACCAATCCCCAGGCCCATCGCGGGCGCGTTCCTCATATTTTCCCGAGCTGCGCCCAGCTGTGGCAACGGCAGCCGAAGCAAGCCATGTTTTTTATATAAAAATGCGGTGGTGAACCGAAACCAATTAAGCCTTGCATAGGCAATGGTGAGGGCGAGGAGGAAGAGGACGAGGAGGAGGAGGAGGAGGAGGAGGAGGAGGAGCACG